ACCCTAAACCCTAGCCAGCAACAGAGCAACAGCCAAGGGTTTGGGGTTTAGGGTTCAACAATGTAGGGTTTAGTGTTCAGGGTCCAGGGTTTAGGGTTTAGGTTTCAGGGTTTCAGCAGCAAGCAAGGCAGTCGGCAGCAAGCAAGGCAGTCAGCAGCCGAGAAGTCGGTGCCCAGCTCCTGACATCGCGTGGTGCGCCACTGGGGTTTGTTCATGGCCACTAGTAGATTTGAGAATGTCATCAGAATGATTGATACGACCAAAGGGGCAGTGCAAGGTCGCTGAACACTACAGCCTAGTGCTGCCTCTACCACTGAGCACGCAGCTGCCAGAGGCCCCTCACTCTTATTCTGCATGACGTCCTGTTGAGTGATGGCTCACGGTAATATTACATCACCACCGTCGCTTATGACTAAAGGGCCACCACAGCTGGCTGGTTTCCACTGAGAGGCTGGTTGGTGCCAGTTGGTGCCAGAGCAAAACAGCAACGAAGTGCCCAGTTCTGAGGTTTGCACGGCTTGAACCTGCACGCTGTCACTTGTGCGGTGTCACTTGCCACACTTGGTCATGTGGGTGCGAGCTCATGACGTCAGCATGCCTCCAAGGGCGTGAACCCACCAACCCTGCCCTGCCCAACTAGCCTAACAATGGTGGCGATGCGAACTTTCCCATGAGCGGCTGCAGCAGCGGCGGACACTCTAGCACGCGCTGTGCTGCCACGGGGCTGCTGTGGCGAGAGCACGCACTGCCAGAGCCGCGGCCGCGTGGCTTGTGACTGGGTTCAAGTGCAACGCCTGCTGCGCGGCCGCCGTACCGTAACTTACATGTGGGATATCACGAACAGCTACTACGGTAATTGCTGTGTTTATGAACTGTGATCTGTAGACTGGTGATGTTCCAAATGCAAGCGAGCCACGATCGTTTATGATATCATATCATACCACTCTGCTTCAACTGGCCGTCTTTTAAGAGTGCAAACTTGACTTCGTTTGGTCGCGGACCGTGTTGACGCGAGCCCGCGCAGTCCTAAACGCGCACCACGGGACTTACACTGCCGTACCAAAGCCCGTAACAGCTCTCACGGTAGTAGCATAACCCAAGCACAATTTCACGTGAAGTAGCACGTGGTGCTGTCAGCGCAGCGGAAAGTGCGGCGCGGCGCCAGCAGCATGGGCACTGAGATTGCCGCGGTGGAGGAGACGTTCAAGCGACTGCAGTCACACAAGGGTGTTCTGGGTGTTCTGGTGCTCAACGCCGACGGCATATCTATCCGCTCCACGTTTGACAACGACACCACAGTACAGTACGCGGCGCTGGTGTCACAGTTCACAGTCAAGGCGCGCGGTGCGGTGCGGCAGCTCGACCCTGACAATGAGCTGCGTTTCTTGCGCATCCGTAGCAAGAAGCACGAGATCATGATTGCACCTGAATTTGAGAAGAGCCGCGAGTACTACCTCGTCGTGGTGCAGGACCCGGCGGCAGAGTGAGGGCAGCAGCAGTGGGATTTGCAGGCGCACATGGCCTATGGCTGCCGTTAGCTCTCGCCTTGCTTTTGGTTACCTGGAAGGTTTCTGTTACAAATTGTCACCTGGAGATTACGTAAATCACGAATGAAGCAGCGCAGTCCACGGTTCAAGCGGCCAAAAACACAATGACAAGATGCAGCCGACATACCTTGCACGTGCACGGCGCACAGGCACCGACAATCTACATGAATATTGTGCCATCATCTGCAGTAGCTCTACTGGGGACCCGGGGTGCGAGGCTTTGATGCATGCGAGGGGAGCATCGGGGCTGCAGGCCCCGATAGTGTGTCGCGCCGGCGGGGCGGGTGCTGCTGGTGCAGCAGCTCCAGGAACACGTCGTAGCCCACCAGGATGCCGCCAGCAAACACGCGGAACGCCATATCATACCTTGGGAGTGGTGGAACGAGTCCAATTGGGTGGTCAGGCAAAGGGGAGGTGCACAGTTTGAACTTGAAGTGTGGTGGGTGGCCCTTGTGCAACAAGGTCGCTTGCTATCGACAATGGACAGGAGAGAGGCAACATTAGTACGACGGTATGCTTACCCATAGAAGCGATAGAAGCCCCGGACCCCCTCCCGCCTCCAGATCTCCCCGATGCAGCGCCAGAAGCTGTTGCCGTACTGGGACGCATCAGCAGCGGTGTCCACGATGAGCCTCTGCATGGTCAGACAAGGTGTGTGGGTGGTGAGGTCAACAACAGTCGCTGACGGCCAGAGACTAGGGCCGAGTTCTGCAAATGATTATTTTACATTCTTGCAAGAAATTCTTGCATTTGAAGCTCTCTGACCGGTGTGGCGTGAACGAGCTGAAGTTAGGCCACTCACCTTCCTCACAATGTCCAGCGGGTACGCAACCGTAGCTGCGGCATAGGTGGTGGTGACAGCAAGGGCCGAGCGCAGGGCAAACCCCTTGGGGGTCACGGCCTTGTGCATCTGATCATCCGACGCCCCCAAGATCAGGGGCTTGGCCGAGTCCTGGACCAGTGGCAGGGCGGTCGGGGAG